GGCCTTGCAAATGACAGAGCCGCCGGGGCACCTGCGGGATGTGAGCGGTCCCCCGGCAGCGCGCTCGCCGTCCCGCCCCAGCCCCGCAGGCACCGCAGGCCGAGCCGCAGCCTCTCAGCTGGGTGCTCTTAGGTTTCGGTGTTCTTCGGTTTGCTACAGGTGGGAGCGATTTGCAAACCCGGCAGGTTAAATCCCCCTCCATACCTCCTCCTCGAACCGGATGACCCGGTTCCAGGAGAAGCAGGTGCTCCCCCGGCAGCGCGCTCGCCGTCCCGCCCCAGCCCCGCAGGCACCGCAGGCCGAGCCGCAGCCTCTCAGCTGGGTGCTCTTAGGTTTCGGTGTTCTTCGGTTTGCTACAGGTGGGAGCGATTTGCAAACCCGGCAGGTTAAATCCCCCTCCATACCTCCTCCTCGAACCGGATGACCCGGTTCCAGGAGAAGCAGGTGCTATTCTGCAGGGGTCTCTGATCGTTTTCTCCCCAGGGGAGGTGAGTTTTATCCCCGATCTCCAGGCGCTCCCTTTGCCGGGGGTGGCCCTGTCCGGTCCCGGGAAGGAACGGGCCCGAGGCCTGAAAGCTGGGCAGTTCTTTAGTCTCTGGGACAGCGCCCCAAAAAAACGGCTCCTAAAAGGTGGTCCCTCTTGGACAGAACTCGCTGTTGTCCTTTGGAGACTTGTTCCCGGGCTCCACCAGCCTGCACGGTTCTGAGTCAACATATTATCGCCTCGCAGGTAAAAAAAAAAAAAGGGGGGAGGGATAAGAACCCTATATATATATATGATATTTAATCGGCTGATCACTGAACGCCCTGACAAAGACGAAGTGCCGTTTAATCCCATTAGCAGGGTGTTAATTTAACAAACATCCGGCGCTGCCGACGGGCAAGGCGGGATCGCGCTCCTGGCTGCTGGGGCGCGGGCCGTGGCTCTCGGCTTCGTTCTGCCCTTGTGTCTTCGTTTCTTATGTATTTCACAACCTCCGGCGCTTGTAATGTCTGCTGCGGTCATTAACGTGATTTACTGAGGCTTTCCTCTAATTACCTCTCCCTCAAGCTATTAAATGCACGCGAGCGGCTCCGCGGGGATGGAGAGCGCAGTTATCGGTGCCGCGGGGCTCCGGCCCGGGGGGGGCCGCGGGG